GAAGCGTGAGTCCTGTTTTAACCACCAGGCAATATGTAGCGGGAGCGCGATTCCTTAGCGTCGAGGAACGGCATCTTAATAAATTGTGAGGAGATATCAAGCGAAGCGGTTCGGTGGTAAGTTGCGAGGAAGTCCCAAGCGAGAACGCGGTTCTGCAATACATTGTCAAGAAGTATCAAGCGGAAGCCGCGATTCGGTGATAAATTGCCAGGACGTCCCAAGCGAGAGCGCGATTCTTCAATAAATTGTGAGGTCGTATCATGCGGGAGCCGTTGATGTTGTTGTTGTAAACTGGGAGCCAACGACACAGTTTGAGCCTCAAGATTTCCCTGATAAAAAACATGATGGACCCACGAACCCGGAAAGGGATATAGACATGTGGAGCATGGACACGTTTTCATGATACCCAACTGGGCAACACCTCACGAAACATCCCACGAGACACCTCACGAAACAGCCCACGAGACACCTCACGAAACATTCCACGAGACACCTCACGAAACATTTCACGAGACACCCCGCGAAACATTCCACGAGACACCCCACGAAACATTCCACGACGACAGGCAACCACTCAACCAAGGCGGTGTGGTCGTGCTGGGGAGTGGTCGTGCTGGGGTGTGGTCGTGCTGGGGGGTGGTCGTGCTGGGGGTGGTCGTGCTGGGGGGGTCGTGCTCGTGCTGGGGGTGGTCGTGCTGGGGCGTGGTCGTGCTGGGGCGTGGTCGTGCTGGGGCGTGGTCGTGCTGGGGCGTGGTCGTGCTGGGGCGTGGTCGTGCTGGGGTGTGGTCGTGCTGTGGTAAGGTCGTGCTGGGGTGCGGTCGTGCTGGGGTGTGGTCTTGCTGGGGTGGGGTCGTGCTGGGGTGTGATCGTGCTGGGGTGGGGTCGTGCTGGGGTGTGGTCGTGCTGGGGTGTGGTCGTGCTAGGGTGGGGTCGTGCTGGGGTGGGGTCGTGCTGGGGAGTGGTCGTGCTGGGGTGTGGTCGTGCTGGGGTGTGGTCATGCTGGGGCGTGGTCGTGCTGGGGTGGGGTCGTGCTGGGGTGGGGTCGTGCTGGGGTGGGTTCGTGCTGGGGTGCTCCGCACCCTGTGATTTATCGATCGGGTCGTGCTGGGGTGTGGTCGTGCTGGGGTGTGGTCGTGCTGGGGTGTGGTGCGTGCGTGCTGGGGTGTGGTCGTGCTGGGGAGTGGTCGTGCTGGGGTGTGGTCGTGCTGGGGCGTGGTCGTGCTGGGGGGTGGTCGTGCTGGGGGGTGGTCGTGCTGGGGGTGGTCGTGCTGGGGCGTGGTCGTGCTGGGGCGTGGTCGTGCTGGGGCGTGGTCGTGCTGGGGCGTGGTCGTGCTGGGGTGTGGTCGTGCTGTGGTGAGGTCGTGCTGGGGTGTGGTCGTGCTGGGGTGTGGTCTTGCTGGGGTAGGGTCGTGCTGGGGTCGGGTCGTGCTGGGGTGTGGTCGTGCTGGGGTATGGTCGTGCTGGGGTGGGGTCGTGCTGGGGTGGGGTCGTGCTGGGGTCTGGTCGTGCTGGGGTGTGGTCGTGCTGGGGTATGGTCGTGCTAGGGTGGGGTCGTGCATTTCGCTCGAGACATCCTGCCAAAATTCCAGGAAATCGTACAAAAACAAACAAATTAGTCGAAACATCATCGAAATTCCTTCGCGCGGGGCGCTTTTCCGCGTCGCGGTCGGCTCTGCAAAACAAGCGTTTCGCTCGAGACATCCTCGGCAAACTCTGCGGAGCAAGCGTTTCGCTCGAGACATCCTCAACACACGAAAAAGTGGCCCGCACCCTGTGATTTATCGATCGGGATTTCAAAAACAAGCGTTTCGCTCGAGACATCCTCAAATTTTAATTCGCCGGCCTCCTTCGACCTCGTTATTTATCAGGGAAAAAATTCGCCGGCCTCCCTCAAGTTGGCACCGGGGGACAGGTTTACCTACTAAAAGAGAACCCTGGGCCCACGCCCTTTCCGGGAACAGGGTGCGAGCCCCGGGAGGGGCGCTTCAATCGAAAAAAAAACCATGTGCACTGGGCAGGGGGATCAACGATAATTATTCTTCACTGATCGCTCCTATCCGCTCACGTGCCAACCAATACGTATATCCCAAACTCTCGGTACCCGTCCTCGTCGTCTTCAATCGTACCCCCTTGCGGGTATATCTTCCTTACCTGCCACGTATACTTAGCGCAGCCCCTAAAACAGTGGAAGAGAGGACGGGTGGAAAGTGAGGGAGAAGAATGGAGCACGAGAGAAATTAGCAGAAGGGGGGCAAGGAGCAGAAAACAAGTAGTAGAACTAGACGGGCACATCGGGTGGGCAGACCCATCGCGGGCAGGTCGGAAGGCGGGTCCAGGAAACGAGGCAGGCGGGTTGCTGAGGAGTGGGTCCTGCATGAATCGCGAGGAAGTCTCGAGCGATAGCGCGATTCCCAAGTGAATCGTGAGAAAAGCCAGCGTGGGCCACGAAGGACAAAAAATCCTAGGCCACACAGGGCAGCAACGGGGCCGCTGAGGGCAGCACCGGGGCCACGAAGGGCAGCAAGGGGGCCACAAAGGGCGACAGCGGGGCCACGAAGGGCATGCATATGGGGCCACGACGGGCGCGAGCGAGCGGGGGCCACGACGGACATTCGTATACGGGGCCACAAAGGGTGACAGCGGGGCCACTGAAAGGGGCCACGAAAGACGACAGCGGGGCTACGGAGGGCATGCGTATGGGGCCACCAAGGGCAGCGACGGGGCCACTGAGGGCAGCAACGGGGCCACGAAGGGCAGCGAGCGAAGGCGACCGCGGAACCAGTACGGGCAGCGAGAGGCATCGAAGGCGGGCGAAGGGCAGCGAGCGGTGACTGCAGTCATTAACGGGCTGGTCGGGCGGGCAGGCCCCGACGGGCGGGTCGAGCGGGCGGGTCGTTGAAGCGTGAGTCCTGCTTGAACCGCCAGGCAATTTGTAGCGGGAGCGCGATTCCTGAGTGTCGAGGAGCGGAATTTGAATACATTGCGAGGAGATATCAAGCGAAGCGGTTCGGTGGTAAGTTGCGGGGAAGTCCCAAGCGAGAACGCGATTCTGCAATACATTGTCAAGATGAATCAGGCGGGAGCCGCGATTCGGTGGTAAATTGCCAGGACGTCCCAAGCGAGAGCGCGATTCTTCAATAAATTGTGAGAACGTATCAAGCGGGACCGTTGTTGTTGTAAACCAACGGCCAGCAGCACAGTATGAGCCTTAAGATTTTCCCTGACAAAAAAAGGAGGGTGCGAGCCCCGGGAGGGGCACTTCAATCGAAAAATACCATGTGCACAGGGCGGGGGGATCAACAACAACAACAAAAACAAAAACAGCAACAACAACAACAACAACAACAACAACAACAACAACAGCATCAGCATCAGCATCAGCATCAGCATCAACCACAACCACAACCACAACCACAACCACAACAACAACAACAACAACAACAACAACAACAACAACAACAACAACAACAACAACAACAACAACAATTACTAGCACGTGGGGACACACCGTTCTCACCAGTGCCAGGGTTTTCATAGGAGGCGGGCAATACCCCCACTTTGTGGGGGGGCCGGTTCAAGCTCTACCAAATTTCCAAACGACTCTTCGCCACCACCCACACCCAGCTTCCCGCCCTATGACGTTCGGACACTTCACTTCGTGGCATGCGGACGACCGTGGCTACTATTCAGGGCCCCGCGGCCGACGACGACGGCGTGCGCGCGCGAAGAAAAAACGAATGTGTCCCGCATGGTATTATTTGACAGGGATGATGGCCCTGGCAGGTGCGCAACCGTTGTTGCAGAAGTTCGAAAAAGTTGCTCGCAAAAGCCCGTTTGACAGAAATGTTTAAAAAGTGTTGGGTTTCCTACGAATCCGCAAGAGCGCGCGGGATGAAATTTTGACATTTTTTTTGAAAAACCATTGGTTTTTTGATGTTTTTATGTTAAAATCGCTACGAAAACTAAGGTTTTGGAAGGATTTCGTCTTGCGCGCGCGAATGTCCACTTTACCTTATTTTTTGCAAGGGATTCTTGAAGTTTGGTTATGTTAGAACAAGAAATGTCCACTTTAGCTTATTTTTTGCAAGGGAAAACCGATCGTAACAACACAACCGGATCCGGACTCCCCCGTTTTGCCTGAGACTTCCTCACGAAAATGATGAAAATGAGGCTGCGGCCTAGGCGCGGCGGGGGGGGTCGTGCACCAGGGGCCCCAACAATAATTATTCTTAAGAAGAAATAATGTTCAACAACAACAACAACAACAACAACAACAACAACAACAACAACAACAACAACAACAACAACAACAACGACAACGACAACGACAACGACAACGACAACGACAACAACAACAATACCAACAAAACAAGCCCACGCATCGAAAAAATCAGGGCGCCAGATATCTGGCGACGGCGGCGGCTTGAAAAACCTTGAAGGGGCGAGGGGGGGGTCGTCGCAGCCTTGGACCCGGGGGGCCGTCAGGAATCGGCTCGGCACCAACGAGAGCAGCCCCGTGGGCGGAGTCCACGTGTCCCGGGGGCGACGAGCGGGGGACAGACAGCTGGCCCAAAGGGGAAAGCAAGACACGTGTCCAGGGGCGCCGATGATCCGTGTCCTCGGCGAGGATCCCCCCCGGAAGGCGTGCGACGCCCGCCCTGGGCGACTCGCCCCTGTCGTGGCCGCCCTATGTTTGGGCGCCCGAGTTATCCGGGGTAACTCGGGTCCGGGGTAACTCGGGTTTGGATTCCCGAAAAAGGAACCCGAGTTAGCCCTGACCCGAGTTACCCCTGATGATGTGGGGCTCTGGACGCCCGAATTATCCGGGGTAACTCGGGTCCGGGGTAATTCGGGTTCGGATTCCCGAAAAACGAACCCGAGTTCACCCTGACCCGGGTTACCCCGGATGATTCGGGGCTCTGATATGTCCGGAGGGCCACGCAGTCGTAAAACCGAGACGGCGGAACACCCCTCCGCGCAGGAGCTCCCGGCCACCGCGATCGGCTGCCCCAGGCCCTCCGGCCTCCGCGCAGGCGGCGGGGGCGGGGGCCCCCGCTGCCCCGCCGGGGGGCGCCCCAGCGGCACCGGGCCCGTCCTCGGGAGGCGGGGGGCTGCTGAGCGATACAGAAAAGTCCCGCTCGCAGGCCTAGAGATTGACACCAACACCAATTTCGGCGGTGTGCCTCCACCGAGGGAAGAAGATCCCGATCTCGGTGATGGTGGTAATATTCTGGCTTCCAAGGTGGCCGAACTGTTACCACCAACACCGAAAATCTAGGATCACCTTCCCCCTGTGGAGGCAACCCCCTGTCTCGGTGTTGGTGCCAATTTCCAGGCCTCCGACCCGCGGGCCCTCTGTCGGGTGTTGCTCAGGGTGGCCGTGGCCCCAAGGCGTCTCTGGGATTTCCCGGCAAGCCCCGCGGCATCTGGAGCGTCCCTTTCGAGGCCCAGGGGGCCCCAGGGCCCGCAGATTGGAGCGAACGAATAGCTGGGGACACTTTGGGCCAGGGACGCCCTCAGAAACTCCCGATTCCGCGCCTTCCGGGAGAGGGTCCACCCCTCCCCCTGCCCCGCGCGCCAGAGCATTTTCGCCGCTGTTTGCGTTTTCTTGACAGCTTGCGCGTGACGTAAAGGCATAGAAATACTTGGACCAGGGAGACGGGGACGCGAGGGCCAAGGCATGAACGGCGCACGGTCCACCGAATTGTTGTTCGAGTTCACGCGATGAAGCGCGGGTGAAAATATCCAGGTGAGAAGACAATCGCGGCTGACATTGAACCAGTGGAAAAAGAGCCTCTGTAGAAGTCAGCACGGCTGAGGCCGCGAGCCCGCCATGGTCGTCGCCAGTGCGACTCCAACGCCACGACGCACGCAACGCAGCGACACGGCTGCGACAGGTCGTGGAGTACAGGGATGCTGAGAACAGGGATGAGGAGGACAGGGAGGCGAAGGATCAGGAAAACGGCCCAAAGGAACCCCTGTAGGCCCCCATGCCCAAGAGGGCTCGAGAAGCCCCGAAAAAGCCCCAAAGGTGCCCCAGAGATGCCCCAGGAGGGCTCCCCAGAGACCCACCCCACCCAGGACACAAATACGTAGCACCCCGAAGTTGCGGATAAAAGTGAAGGGGCGGCGGGGACGGCGGCAGTCTGCAATGGCTCCGAAGAAGCCCGCCGCAGGCGCCTAATTTTTACAAATTATACAACGATCTCACCGCAGGCGCATTTTCGTTAAAACAATTGTGAAGGGGTCGCGGGGTGGGTCGCGGACCGGGTCGGGGGTGGATCGCGGGCAGGGTCGCGGGTGGGTCGGTCGCGGGTGGGTCGCGGGTGGGTCGCGGGCAGGAGACGGGGTGGGTCGCGGGTGGGTCGCGGGTGGGTCGCGGGTTGGGTCGCGGGTGGGTCGCGGGTGGGTCGCGGGCCGGGTCGAGGGAGACGACGACAACGAACACCAAACACAAACAACAAACAGCAAACAACAAACAATAAACAACAAGCAATTAACAAACAATTAACAACAAGCAACAAGCAACAACAACAGCAACAGCAACAGCAACAGCAACAGCAACAGCAACAGCAACAACAACAACAACAACGACAACCGCAGCAACAGCAACAGCAACAGCGACAGCAACAGCAACAGCAACAACAACAACAACAACAACAACAACAACAACAACAACAACAATTGCAACAATTACAACAACAAAACAGCAACAGCATCAATCACAACAAAAACAACAACAGCAATAACAGCAACAACAAAAACAGCAGCAACAACAACAACAACAACATCAACAACAACAGTCCGCACCGCAGAACGTCACTTCAGCCACGCGCCCAGGGACAGTGAATGACCGTTCGGCCCCCTCACTCTGACTATCACAGCGGGCAAGTTCTCTAGCCTCAAACTGTTTCCTCACTGGCGATCTGTCCAATATTGAGAGGGGGATTGCGTGTTGGCGCCCAAAGAAGGCCCAAGAAGGTGACGCAAGGTGGCCCCAAGACGGCTCATGACGGGCCAAGATGGCCCAAGACGGCTCCAGATGGCATCAAGACGGCCCAAGAGGCCCCCCAAGGAGGCAGAAGGCCCCCGAGAGGTCAAACTTCTTCAGGATTCATGGTTTGTACGACCGCCCAAGACCAATCCAACATGGTTTGCAATCTCCTAAGAACACTAACTACGTTGTTTGCATTATCGCCAGTTCGCTTCAGAAGGGGTTTCCATGGCCTCAAGATAGCTCCAAGATGGCCCAAGAGAGCCCCAAGAAGAGTCCACGAGGGCATCAAAACGGCCCCAAGAGCGCCCATGAGTGACCCAAGAGCGCCCCAAGAAGGCCCAAAGAGACGAGTTTGGGGGCTCAAGAGAGACGGCGTCAATTATACCCCCCCCTTTATCGATGTCCTCCAGGTTGGCCCTAAGAGGGATTCCAGGGCCCCCAAGAGGGCCCCAAAAGACTCTCAAGAGGGCTCCAAGATCGTCACAAGAGGACCTTGGAAGGAAGGACCAGATTCCGCTGGTTCCTCAAGTTGCTGCACAAGCTGCGCTCTGGCGGCTCTGGCAGACATCTCGGCCAAATGCCTGTACTGTGTTCGCGCCTTTGCGCTGGTTCTGCATAAAAAATGTAAGCACAACTCTCCGGGCCGCCAAACCACATTCATCGTCCGCCTTACCTGTGGCGAGAGCAAAGCAACGGTCAAACACACTGCACCTCGTCCTTTTCCTCCTCCTCCTCCTCCTCCTCCTCCTCCTCCTCCTCCTCATCCTCATCCTCATCCTCATCCTCATCCTCCTTCTCCTCGACCTGTTCCGCCGCCGCCGCCGCCGACGACGACGACCGCGGGGACATGGCGACCCGGACGGCGGAGCGGCGGCGGGGAGGGGAGGGCCGTCCTGCAGGATGGCGGCATCGGGTCGACCGTCAGCACCGGCTGGGGCAGCACCTCGGTGACAGCGCGCCCCTGAAACCCTGGCGTCATGATTTGTTCACACCACGCGACGCCGCCCGATTTCGGGTCCTGGGACCTTCGCAGATAGATGTGGCGAGAAAGACGTGGTCTTGGGCTCTGGTCGTGATATTTCACGATGTTGCCATGACATCGGATCTCAGAGATCATCATCATCATCATCATCATCATCATCATCATCATCATCATCATCATCATCATCATCATCATCATCATCATCATCATCACCATCGTTATCGTCATCGTCAAGGTCATCATCATCATCATCATCATCAGCATCATCATCATCATCATCATCATCATCATCCTCATCATCAGCATCATCATGATCAGTATCATCATCAGCATCATCAGCATCAGCATCAGCCTCAGCATCAGCATCAGCCTCAGCATCAGCATCATCATCATCATCGTCATCAGCAGCATCAGCATCAGCGTAAACATCAGCATCAGCATCATAGACATCATCGTCATCATCATGATCGTCATCATCATCATCAGCAGCATCACAATCATCAGCATCACCATCATCATCATCATCATCATCATCATCATCATCATCAGCAAGCATCATCAGCATCAGCATCAGCATCAGCGTAGTCATCATCATAATCATAAGTACCATGGTCATCATCATTATCATCAGTCATCATCATCATCATCACCATCAGCATCAGCATCGTCATGGTCGTCACCAGCATCATCATCATCATCATCATCATCATCATCATCATCATCATCATCATCATCATCATCATACGTATCATCACCATCAGCATCATCATTATCATCACCATCATCAGAAGCCTCAGCATCATCACCATCACCAGCACCAGCACCATCGCCATCAGAATAATCATCATCATCATCATCATCGTCATCACCATCATCGTCGACGTCCTCATCCTCATCCTCAGCATCATCATCATCATCATCATCACAATCATCAGCATCACAATAATCATCATCATCATCATCATCAGCATCATCATCAGCATAGTCATCATCATGAATACCATGATCATCATCCATATCATCATCCATCTCATCATCACCATCACCATCATCATCGCCATCATCATCGTCGTCGTCGCCGACGCAGCCGCTGCCGTCTTCGTCATCCTCATCATCATCATCATCATCATCATCATCATCAGCATCATCATCATCATCAGCATCACAATCATCATCATCACCAGCCGCACCATCATCATCATCAGCATCCTCATACTCATCCTTAACATCATCACCATCATCATCATCATCATCATCATCATCATCATCATCATCATTATCATCAACAGCATCATCAGCAGCATCATCAGCATCACCATCATCAGCAGCAGCATCGTCAGCAGACTCAGGGTCATCATCAACAACAACAACAACAACATCATCATCATCATCATCGTCGCCGTGGTCATCGGTATCGTCACCTCCATGAACCACCCATAGGATCATCGTCACCATCATCGTCGTCATCATCAGCATCATCAGCATCATCAGCTACATCATCATAATCAGCAGCATCATCAGCGGCATCGTCAATCCCATCCGCATCCCCATCCTCATCCTCGTCGTCATCGTCGTCGCCGACGCCGCCGCTGTCGTCGTCGTCATCGTCGTCGTCGTCTTCATTGCCTTCGTCGCTGTCGTCGTCGCCGTCGAGCACCTTGATGAGCACGGGCCCCCGTGTCTCACTCAGCACCTCCGTGAACTCGGACTGGGAGCGCACCTTGCGACCGTTGACCTCCTGTGCCCGGGCTCCGGGGGTGCGGGACGTGGTCTGGAACCGAGGTGGGAGCTTTCAAGGGGCATCCCAAGGATTGAAGGAGCGCATTCCACGGGCGCTCGCCTTGAGAACATTCGGCGGCGCGTTTGAACCGGGGGGGGGCTCCCCCCCAACATTCGGCGCCGTCGAACAGAACCAGGAACTCCCGTCCGCACTCCCCAGCCCTTCCCCCCTTCCCCGAACCCCCCCACCGTCCCCCCCGTCCAGGGGGGGGGGGCCTGCGCCAAGGGGGGGGAGGTTCGAACGCCCCCCCCGGCGCCGGCCCCGGCGCGCCGGCGCCGACGGCGGCGGCGGCTGCTGGCAACGCCGACGCCCACACCCACGCCCACACCCACACCCACGCCCACACCCACGCCCACGCCCACACCCACGCCCAAGCTCACGCCAACGCCCGCGCCCACGCTCACGCCCACGCTCACACGCACGCCCACGCCCACACCCGCGCCCATGCCCACGCCCACACCCATGCCCACGCCGACACCCACGCCCACGCCCAAGACCACGCCCATGCCCACGCCCACGCCAGCGCCCACGCCCACGCCCTCGCCCTCTCCCACGCCCACACTCACACGCACGCCCACGCCCACACCCGCGCCCACGCCCACGTCCACGTCCACGTCCACACCCACGCCCACGCGGGTTCGAACCTTCCTTTCCTTCCTGGCGCAGAGGGGTGGGTTCGAACGCCCCCCCTGTGAACTGGAGGAGTGGGCGGGGCTGTTCTGGACCCCCACAAAGAGCCCATAAAACACTTTTTTTTCAAGATTTCGATGTGGTCTGGGAGGTGTTGGGATGCTCTCGGATGCCCTCGGAGTTTTTTGGCGGTTTCCCAGAGCTTCGGACGGCTCCTCGAGGTTCCCAGAATGAGGGAGGACGGAAAGGGGAACCGGGGGAGGAGGGAGGCAGGAGGAGAGAGGAAAGGGAAGGGAGCAGGGAGGTGGCGGCGGACGCTGTCTGATGACGCAGGTTCGTGTTCCCTGGTTTTTCGGTCAGCCGATTAGGCTCATCAGGGCCGATAAACCCTGGGAGCAAACAGCAAATCACAGAATTACGAACTGGGCCACAAAATGGCCTTGAAATGCCCATGGAACTACGCGTTTGCTTCATCTCTCTCGGGCATCGCCTCGATGACTACGAAGTCTGGCCAAGGAGGAGGAGGAGGAGGAGGAAGAGGAGCAGGGGGAGGCGAGGGCGAAGGCGCCGTCGGGGCATCCTCCGAGGCTTGGGTTGGCGCGGCCTCCTCCAAGGCCCTTGAGCCTGGCCGCAGAGTCGTCCGCGACGAAAGATTCCTCGGCGGACAGCGGCGGATCCTCGGGGGCCTCTTCAGGGACCCCCCGGGAGCTTGGCTAAGGCTAAGAGCGGGACCAAGGAAGGGAAGCGCGGGAGGAGGGGTGGGGGGATCCCACCTCCGCCTCTCAAGGTCGGGCTTACGCTTTGCCCCTGTGGTGCCAGCGAAATCGGGAGCTTCCCAAAAAGCTTCACTGTCAGACCATGGCACACTGAACTGTCTGATAGCAACTTTTTCGTATTCCTCGTCCTGCACAGTCGGAGGGTAGTCGGCTTCATAGTTGGGATACTCTGATTGCCTTCCGTTAAACATGATTTGCGCGATAACTCTGCACATGGAATAGGGCATGTATTTTTGCGGCTGGTCTTGGGAGTCCGGTCCACATGCTTTCCTAGCAGAACAGAATGCGTTCCCTTGTCGCGGTTGCAGAGTTCATTGCGGGTGACCTTACAGGGCAGCATATAATTGGGAGTACGAGGGCGAGGTTTCGAGTCGAAGCATTGTCGCGGAAGCTAGGATCACAAACTTGATGCATAAATTGGTCGAAAACGATCATGCTGACAATAAGACAAGATTCTAAGGCTCTGAGGGACACCCACTCGAAACTTAACGGCGCCCGCGGTCTCCAGAGCGCTGAAGGCGGGTGCTCCATCCACCCACACACGGCAGCGCGCACGCGATCGGCCTGCGCAATCGTGAAAAGCAAAGGGGCTGCCCACACGCAGCTCCTCACGCTGCTGGCTGGCGCGCAACGGAAGTCCCCACATATGCCGGTTCGTTCGCAATGGGGCGGGGCCCCAGTCGTTCCGGCGACCTGCACCCCACGTATCGCAAGGAGCCCCCCCTCACCAAGTAGCCCAAACCTGGTGACACCGCACATGGTTGAACCATTATACGGTCCTTTCCGCCCGCGTCAAATCCCCTCGCACGTCATTGGCGGCAGTACCCATCGATCGAACGGTTACCGCAAGTTCCTCCGCGGTCAGCACGTCGGCCCCCCAGGCGCGTCCTTGGCGCCTCCTCCCGCGGATTAGATGCATCATAAAAACTCTGACTCTCTGAATGCGATGCGACAGAAGTATCGTCGAGATGCCGTCGCCACGGTTCGCCCGAAAGACGCAGAAACCATCGTCTGATGGAGGCTGTTGTGGGCCCCGTGGGGGCATGCGCGGGCAAACCCTCCTCGGGGAACTCGCAGCGGGTCTCTCTGCGCACCTCCCCGGCCCCCTGCTCACTGAAGCGCGAGAAGACCCGAGCCGCCCCCCAGGTCATTCCCCCGACCCCCGCCGACGCTGGACGCGCCGATCACCAGATCCCGAGCTCTGCCTGCCTACGCCGCTGCCAGTCAAGTCGGCCAGCCCCTGCGGCTTGCGCCGCCTGTTCTGCGGGGCGCCGGGGCCCCTGACGCACGCGCGCCAGGCGACGACGTTCTGCGTCGAACGCCAGGCGACCCCCCACCCACCGCCGCGAAGCGGAATCGGCGCCGCAAGCTCTGCACTCCGCCCCCTCCCCCAAGAAGCGTTGAACCTGGGCAACCAAGCTGGCGCGGTTCCTGACCACACGCTGCCGGAGGGCCCGACGAACTGGAATTGACGCCAGGGGCGCTTCAGAGCAGGAGTCGGCGTGCCCCGCGCCATCCGAAGTGGGTGGTCGGGGTGACTGGCCAGCAGCGGAAAGCTACAAGGCTTCGCCATGTCGAAATTATCCGCTCAGCGCCGCCCGCCAATGCTGCACTCGCGCTTTCCTCTGGAACTCCCACCAGAGCGGTCTTGAGAAGGCGCTTCCAAGCTGGGGAGGGCTGCTGCACGCGCCCTTCCCATCTAAAGAGATTGTCGCGTGGACCCGGGCAACCGCCAACCTGTTTGCAATGCCCTCGGGGCCAGGCAAGACCGTCCAGGACGCGTCGTATCCACGAGATCCCGTTGTTGATCTCAGGTCGGCGGGCCCGATGGGCCGCGGCCAGAAGTCCCCGGGCGGCGCCAATCCCTAGGTGGATAACTCTCCCCAGCTGTCGTCGGCGGTGGATCCTTGGCTGGACGTCGAGGTCTACCCTCCGCGCAAAAGCCAGGACAATCACATCCGCGACTGTGCTGTCGCCACACCGAAAAAGGCCACGAGCAGACCCGCATCGTTTCATGAGCGCGTTGCGCAAATTGTTATAAGCCCCCATCTCGCGCTGCTCCAAGCACCCAGGAGAAGCGAAGCGAGTCGACAAAGCGATGCTTCATGACCGGGGCCGCGGGGCTCTCGGGGACCGCCGCGAAAACCGCCTCAACGAGGACCTGCGACGGCTGAGCCATACCAGCACGTCCAGGGGCAACCTCTGGACCCACAGCACACCGCTCATCCATGATGGCCCCCAGAGGCGGGCACCGTCGCACTGCGCGCGCGCGCAACCCACTGCGTCGTCGCCACTGTAGTGCACCCTTCATCTCATTCTAGAATACAGCGCGCGCTGCACGCGCGCTCCCCGTGCAAATGGGAGAGCAGCTCGGACTTGCCTGGCTTGGAATTGAACGAGAGGCCCCGCGATGCAAATGAAGCTGCCGCCGCGCCTGCGACCTGGGGCGCGAGCTGCAGGCGCCCCAGCGGCTTGCCCAGAGGATAAGAATGTCAATCGCAGGCGTCGTTTCTGTAGGCTCGCGCCCCACCATCTGCGCGATAGAATTGCCCTTCATCGCGGGACCTGTACTGCGATGCTGAGATGCTGGAATCGGTCCTTAGATAGTTGCACGCATTCCGCCACACGACGCACTTAAAGGTAGCCTCTCCCAATTGCTGCCCCGGGGCCGCTCGAACGAGAGGGCCAGCCACCACTGTAGACCCAGGACAGTGGAACTAGGACCCGTGACACGAGGAGGCCACAAGAGCCTGCACATGAGAGGGCTCTCCTGCTTCTCCCAGGCAAGTAGGGCCTCTAGCTCGACGGTCACGCATGCGATGCATCGCCGGTGGTGGCAGGCCTGCGGTCTTTCGAATCATTGCCAAATCGTCAGCAGCCTGACCTGGTCGCATGACTGGTTGCCGCGGGGATTTGCAGAGTGCCTGCGCCGCGTCGATGAGGAGGTACCCGATACTGATATGATGCAAGTCTGCTAGATTTTGAAATGCGCGCATCGCCTACTCAGCTACATCTACTCCTCTGCACGGCACCCCTCCGAACTGTGCGCCCCCAGCATATGCGAGTAGTGACGCAGCAAGCGGCGCGCGCACATTGGCGCGCTACTTCTTGCCCATCCGCGGCGAGATCACGACCGCCCGAGAGCGCATTGGCCACGAAAGGCCCCCCGATCGCTTCCACATGTTCCAGTTGGAGTCCGCCCATTCCCACTGCATCGGCTCTTCTACTCTCAGCACTGCCTGCATGGCCCTGCAAAGTATAGCCCAGCAACACTTCAGTATAACCGAGCCAAATGCAAAAAGTAGGCGCCCCACGACACCGTCGACACAGGCGGCGCTCGGGCGCGCACTCGCATGCGCCAGCTGCAAGCGGCAGGAGAAAGATGTCTCCCCCCCGGAGACGACCGAGGATAATGCCAAATGTCTGCTGCCAGCGCGCGCGCAGCAGCTGGCATGCCGCCCTTGCCTCGCACCACTGGCAGCGCTTGCACAATGACTCTCTTTTTCGAGTCAGCTCCAATTCGCCGGAGCGCGGCGAGATCCTCGACCATGTCGCGTCGGCACCACACCGAATGTAGTTGGCCGGCCACGCTGCGATAGCGTGCTATCGCATTCTTCTGTGAGCACTGCTTGGCCACGAAAGGGCTGCGTAGCCTGATGAGTTCACGCATAGGTGCCCCTCGCCCCTCGGCAATCATGAGCAAACCCCAAAACTTGCCTGCGCTGGCGACGACTGCGCCGGCGGTCTCAACGAGGCTGTCTGGCTCGATCGGCCCCAGACTGCGCCCTATGGGTTGGAAGGCGATACGCAACCACTTGGCTCGCTTACGCACGTTCGTTTCAGCTCGTCGAAGAGCGGCTGATCGGTCTAGCGCCGCGCTCAAAGAGTCGCACAGCGCGCTAACTAAGCTCAGGCTGTCTTCCTGTGCTCGCACCATGAAGCTCGGCCCAGGTGGGAACGCGCGCGCGGGCGGGTCAAAGGAACAGAGGCCGGCGACTCCACCACGCCGCGCGACTTGCGCCCAAGCGACAACACAACTGCAAGCGCAGCCCGTGCTGTAGCCTTGCCGACCCCGCGCGCTTGCCAGAGGGCCAGCGCGCGTTGGTTGACGACGCCCAGCATATCCTGTTTGATCAAGCTCTGTCTGAACTGGGTACATCTGGCGGCGCGCCTGACGGGGAAAGCTGCCGCCATGGCGCGTCGCGCGCGCTGCTCCTGCAGTCGCGCGTGGCCCGAGCCGTGCACAACGCACTCCGGCTTCGGAGCTTCGGCGAGAGGGCGCCGAAAATTGCCTCGAACGTCTGAAGATTTAGAAAGCTCGGGGACGCGATCAACCTCATTGGGAGCGGATCTCCGCAGGAGACACCCCAAGGGCGGAAGGGCGAGGAGGGCCCAGACTGAATGGTGGTCTTCTTGAGACACTGTGAACACCTCGCCGCAAAGCATATGATACGCCCGATATGGCGGCGTAGTCACGACGTTTGGCTTCCGCCTTACCCGACGGGGTCCTCCAGGAACATCGAGGCCCGAGTAGGGGGTGAGAAAGGTAGACTGGGCCCGCTGCCTGGTGTCGAACACGAAGCGATAGAAGCGGGCACCTGCCAGATTCTTCGCCTCTGCCTCAGATCCCCCTACTGCATCGGACTGCGCACTGCCAGGAGCTGCGCTGGAGCCATCTAGCGCGACCAGGTGCTCCGCACCCAGTCTCGTCGCATGCACAAGCTGCGCGGCGACCCCCCACCACTCGGTGCACGTGTCTGCAGCAGATTGCGGAGCTCAGCGAAAGCGCGAGCGCGGAGCATGCACGACGGGAACAACGCAGCGCAAGCATGCCGACTATGAGACGAGCAGGTTCAGCATGCGACACCCTGCACGTGGACTTGGCAAGAGCACGGCTGCATGCCCAAGCGACCTCACAGCGCGCACCGGTCGGAGACCTGCGGGGGAAGCAGAAGAGCGCATGACATAATAGTCTCCCAGAGATAGCGCCTCGTGCACCTCCAGCCTGGTCTCCAGGGCCCCTACCAGAAGATACTGTTGCATCGAGACCTGCGCAGCCAGCTGCATAAGCCGGCCAGGACCAGGACCCGAGGCGTCGAGGAGCCCATCCGTCCGACATGTTGGAGTGCAGCGCGAGCACGTTGGCAGTAGCTACCCAAAATCGGTGTGCCTCTTGGGCCTGCTCGTCATCTATAGCGAGGCGGGCGGACTGCGTAATAGCTCGGACGTGGTCCTGCATGGTAGCGCTGGCCGTGAGCGCTGGTGGCATCGGCACTCCACCTGCTGGGGGATACTGCCTCCTCTCATTTTGCGCGCGCGCGCCATGGACGGTCGAGCTCCGCCCGCCACCTGGCGTCGGGAAAGGCAACATACATATCCATCGCAACCGCATGTTGGAGTCCTGGGATATGCTATCAGTCACAACTGTGCGCTGTGCGTGCAAGTACCTGCACAAGACTGTCGAGCTGGCCCTTGAGCTCGAGTAGGTGGCATTTGAAAGCTCCCAACGAGGTTCCACGTACCATTTTCACGTTGTCGCTGCGCACCGTCACATGTGCATCATGCGCGCTGGGACACTGCACGCACCATGCCACTGCCCAGATTGCAGCTTCAAATTCATCAATCACAGAGAGGTGGGATCGAGCAAACATACTCACTGCATCCAGCAACGCACGCGCGCGATACCCGTGTAACCAGTTACTCTCTCCACCCGTCGCCATGATCACAAACGCCCAGGGAGGGTGGCATTTCTGATCTGACCAATATTTGAAGCCGCCAGCGGCTCCATCCGCGAAGATATTGAGTCGTTCGGAGATGACCCCCGGTCCTGGATGCTGAGATAGCGCGCTAAGCACACGCCTCGTAGAAGAATGCCAAAACTTCGCATGTGTAAGTATGTCGGCACCCAAGGGCGTGGTCCATGGCCTTAGTAGTACCTCCTTAATGGGACCCAGCTGTGGGAGAAGATTAAAACGGAGACCTGGACGAGATGGATCGTCCTCAATCGGAATGGATGGAGGGGGAGCGGGACAATCGTCGAGACTGTCAATTGCCAGCGAAGGCACGGGCACTTCCTGAGCAGGCAGAACTCTTTCTCAAAAGTCATCGTGAGCGGCATCCTGGCACGCGCCCCCGCGCAGTAAACAAGGGTCAGCAGGCTGCTATTGCTCATCACTCGTTGCCTCTGCTGACGTGCTCGGCACGTCACTCATCCTCTGCGGCCCCTCCACGCCGTCGACCTCATCAACTCGTGGAAAGAGGCCGTCATCGGATTCGCCGACGTTGATGGCCAGCGCCTTCAGCTGGGCCCGGACCGACTTGTCGACAGCGACCTTCAGGACGCCACCGGGCGAGCAATGCGGCATCCCCGCCTTGCCTCCCGAGCGGCCCGCCGCAGCCTGCGCTCGTCTGCGCGGCGTGGACGCCTGGCGCAGAGCAGACGGGGCCCAGCGTTGTTTTGCTCTCCCGCTCCTGGCGCCGCCTCCACCGCCGCGGCCAAGACTGCCTCCACTGGCGTCGGGGCGCGATGCGGCTGGCTGTCCAGGCGCTGCCGCCGCTGGCGGCGCCGCCGCCACGGGCGCTGGCGCGGGCTAGCTGGTGGCCGCCGCTGTCGCCTCCGCCTGGGCTTGCGTCTGCATGGCGAGCGCCTTCTCGTGGCGTTGAGCTGCTCAGCCATCTTCGCCATCAGCTCCGTGAGGTCTTAGCTGGATGCCTGCAGCGCGGCGGGCTGCGCCAAGGGGCCTGGCCGCGGTTCCGCGCCTGCAGCGCCTGCTGCCGTGCGCGCTGCCGTCGTAGCTGATGCTGTTGTTGCTGCTGCGTTGGCGGTCTCATCGACTGATATTACTGACTCCTTTTCCCCGTGCTCTGCGGCCTCCTGCTCCTCCAACGACTCGAAGTGCTCCAGCAGCTCCTCAGCTTTCTGGACGTCTTCTTGCAGGTGTTGGCCCTGGCGGCGGCGAGCGGCGAGTCGCAGTTGTTCTGCCAGCTCTCGTTCTTCCTTCTGGGCGTCAGTGTGCCTCGTGATGATCCTTTCCAGGTAGGACGTTTGCTGGCTCACCCTTGTTTTCGCGTCCCGCGCGAACATGACCTGGTAGAGCACAACCGATTAGTCCGTCTCCAGCTCCCTGATGACGGTGGTCTTCTGATGCCTCGTAGGCCGAGGCGATCTGTTTCTCTAAGGCGGGCGCCCTCGATGTCGTCGTCATCGGGTGATTCGTCACGAGCTGGCTGCTGGACGACTACGTGTGCTGCGCAGAATTTGCACGTCCTGGAGCTGCATATATTCTGACGCTGACACTTGACACACTCCCAGAACTTCGGCGGAGGTGCCGATGTGTGAGTTCCATAGGATATGTTGCCCGACTACTGAGCCATACTGCCGTGATGCGATACCGGCCTCCTTGCAGCCGATGCAAGACGACAAAGCACTCTATCACTTGCTCTCCTCGACCGCTCTCGGCGGTGCCAGGCTGGTTCCGCGACGTCGCCGCCTCGTCAGCAAGCTCCAGGACTAGCCTCAGGGACAGGGATGCGGGCGACGCACGTAAGGCCCGACATTCGGCTAAGGTGTTCCGAAAATCATGCGCCCAAAACACCTGAGCCGATCAATGGCCTTGAGCAGGGAGGAGGGTGGAGCGACGAGGGGAGGGGAGAGCGAGGGAAGGAGGAGAAACAAGGGAGGAGGGGCGAAGGAGGAGCGAGGAGGGGAGGGGCGAGGAGGGGAGAGGCGGTCTCCTCGATGCGGTCGCCCTTTGAGAACAGGCCGACGCCCAGGCCGTCCGGCTTCACCTCCTGCACCACCAGCGAGTGCATGCTCAGGCCGAGCTTCTCCCCGCCCCTCCTGTCCAGCCTCGCTGCCATGAAGGGAGACTCAAGCCTGCATCAGCATAAACTTTCGGCGCTCCGCGAACCAGGGAGGGGCGCCCAGCCCCGATCCGAGGCATCCGCGCGGACCTCCGCGAAAACGTATGCTCATGCTGCCGCCTCTTCTTCGAACGACAAGGCGACCAGGCTGGCGACCAAACGGCTGGACGACCCAACGACCGGACGTCTGGACGACCGGACGACCGCACAACCGGACAACTGGACGACCGGACGACTGCGGGCGACTGCGGGCGACCAGGTGACCAGGCGACCCGGCCACCCGACGGACGGACGAACTGGGCGACCCAGAGACCAGGCCACCGGACGACTGGACGACCAGATGCGGAGTTGTTCCCCAATCAGTGCTTGCACTGAAAGGTTCCTAGCGGAAGTTGGAAGATTTGGCGAACGTTTTCCGCCGATTTTGGTAGCAGGCTGGGTTCCCAGGTTCCCGGTTCCGGGTTCCCGGGTTCCCGGTTATTGGGTCCGGGCCGATTTCGGTGGGTTCTCGGTTCACGGGCTCCTGGGGTCCCAGTCGATCTCCTCAGCGAAAACCATCCGACCCGAGACTTCGGCCGCGCCGCTGGACTCACGCTGACCAGCCGCACGGCATCCGCGCGCGCGAATCTTCTAGAAGCCTCCCAAATGGGATCGGAGTAGATGCGGTCGGAGGATCGCGCTGAATCGCCGATGCATTGGCGGTACATCGGCGATACATCGGCGATGCATCTGCGACGACGGCGTGTCGAAGAACGGGCTCCACATCGAGCCGCATCACCGATGCATCGGCAATGTGGCGCGATCTGTCGACCTCATCTGCTTCGACCACTTCTGGAAGGTCTAGAAGCAGAGGATTGGATGGTCCCCGTTAGCGCTGACCCCCTTACGAGTAGGTCGGGCATGTCCTCCTACAGGCGAATTTTGAACGAACAATAAAATCAGAAAACCTGAAATGTTGAAAAATAGGCAAACAATCGTCCCCAGACTAAAACTATTTTTGAATATTCCTCCTGTAGAGGGACAGGCACGATTTAACCCTTACGTGAGCCCCGATCCGAGACTTCTGCCCGCACCGCTGGCCTCACGCTGACCAGCCGCACGTCCTCCGCGCGAGCGCCAATCCTCTCGCCACCACACAAAGGAAAGGCCCTGGGCCAGAGCGACCCTTGGTGCTGCGCGGCTTCCGGGGAGGGCCGCGGGGGGGTCCTCATCCTCCTCCTCCTCCTCCTCCTCCTCCTCATCCTCCTCCTCCCCCTCCTCCTCCTCCTCCTCCTCCTTCTCCTCCTTCCTCCTTCCCCTCCCCCCTCCATCCTCCCTCCCATCTCCCTCCCATTTCCCCCCTTTCCCCCCTCCTCCTCTCCTCCTCCTCCCCCTCCTCCTCCTCCGCCTCCTCCTCCTCCTCCTCCTCCTGGGTCAAACCCAAGCGAGCACGCAGCCGCTATTGGCATGCGGCGGTCGGAGGACCGCTGTGGGCCCGCACGACAGGCCACTCCGGCGAAGGGTCTTGGAGGCGGCCAGGGGGTCTGGAAAATCGGCCAGGAGGGGGCACATGAATCCAAATCCGCTCAAAATCGGTCCCCAGATCCCACCCCTCCCAGGGTGCATCTGGTGCAATTGTTCGCCCCAGATCCGTGTCTGCCGGTCCTGGGGCCCGAGAACGACCACCAGAGACCAGAAAGGCAGAAAACCTTTTCGAACCCAGCACCTCGAACCTGATCGCTCTTCCTGCTGGCCGGAACGAGGGCCTGAGCGACGCCAGGCCCCCAGGCGGCTCCAAGACCCCAGCGAAGCCGCACCATCAGGCCACTCCGGCAAAGGGCCTCGGCCGCGAGCGAGGGGGGCAGTGAGAAGTAGGGGGCTTCCTCAGGAGGCGGCGGGGCTTCTCAGTAGCCCTCTGGCCTTGTGAAAGGTTGTCGGCGCCTTCGGGGAAGGCTCAGAAAACTTCGCAGGAGGCTGAGGGACTTCCGAACCTTCTGAGAAAGCCCGCCCCTTCTCCCTTCCCCCCCTCGCTCACCCGCCCGACCTCCTCTGAATAAGGTCACTCTGGCGAAGGGCCACTGCCACTCTCGCGCATGGCCGAGTCTTGAGGCCTCCTAGATGGGGTCCGAGTAGACGCGGTCGGAGGATTTCGCCGCATCGCCAATACATCGGAGATGCATCGGCGATGCATCGGCCATGCATCGGCAATGCACTGGCGACGTCGGCGATACATCCGCAGCGTCGGCGTAAACATAAACATAAAAACTCTGAGGTCCGCACGGATTTCTCGGATCGGCGCTGGAGACCCCTGGCGGCGCCTCCGGCGGGAGCGCGCCAGGGAGGGAGGCCCGACGCCGCTCCGAGAAAGCCGCGCGGACCTCCGACTCTGTCTGTTGATCTCATTGCTTGTTCGCCTATAGGAGGCCTCGGCTATTACATCATTGTTTATATCATTGTTTATATAATTGTTGATATCGTTGTTGATATCACTGTTGGTTTATATCACTGCTTGTTTATAGCACTGTTTGTTTATACCACTGCTTGTTTATGTCACTGTTTGTTTATATCACTGCTTGTTTATATCACTGTGTGCTTACATCATTGTTTGTACCATTTGTTCGGTTCCCTATTGAGTGTCCTCGCGGCGCCCGCGGCGGGCGCCGCCGCCAGCGCCGCGGGCGCGCTCCGGGCGCCCGCCACGGGCGCGCGCGCGGGGCGGCTGGGGCGGCTGCCGCCGCAGGCCGCCAGCGGCCCCCCGGCGGCCGCGCCGTCGGCCTCCTCGGCGCTGCGGGGGCGCCGCACGCGCGCCGCGGAGACGCTTTCCGGGTTTAGGGTTCAGGGTTCAGGGTTTAGGGTTTAGGGTTTAGGGTTCAAGGTTCAGGGTTTAGGGTTCAGGGTTTAGGGTTTAGGCTTTAGGCTTTAGGCTTTAGGGTTTGAGCGGAGGCGGGCGCAGCCCTCACCTTACAGCATTGCTCTACACCGCTCTCGTCGCGCAAGGAACATGTTCGCCCCTTTTTCCGAAGGGGCGCACAGAGACACATGGGTACTACACGTATATTCCTCGGGAGGCGCGCGCGCGCGCCCGACCCGAGCATATAGTAGACCCATATTGTAGCACAGTCGGGGTCGATTGGAGAGGGCACGCGAGAGAACACGAGACCCTTCCGAGGGCCACATTGCCTTAGGAATGTAAGAAGGCATGAGGCAGGGTCGACCTACAAACCAGTCTCGACTGTATACCGCCCCGAGGTTCGGGAAGGGCGGTCGAAGCGGTATATCGTTTCCCGAGCGGGGTGGCCGGAAAGCGCCCGCCACACAGCATGCACTATGAGGTTTCTCGGTGCGCGCGTCGCCCCTCAGGGGGCGGCGCACACTTAGCATTAGCATGCCGTGGGGGCGCCGAAGAGAGGCGATCGATCATTGCTTCGACGGCGAACCCACGGGGAAAAAAGAGAAAGGGCGGGCCTTTTCAGAAGGTCCCCATAATTACCGCTACCCCTTTCCCCCTCTGTCGGCCTCCTGGGAGGCCCTAGTCGCCACCGCTGGATGCGCCTTGAAATCCTGGTCGGAAAGCACACCGGGAGAAGTCTGGGGAGCAGCGGCATCGGCAGCGGCGAGCGAAGGGGGGAAGTGAAAAGGGGCGGGCCTCCCCAGAAGGCTCGAAAGCCCCCTGGCCTTCTGAGAATTTTCCTGCGCCTTGACACAGAGAACTTCGCCCAAGGCCTCTCAAAGGCCAGAGGGCTTCTGACAAGCCCCGCCGAATCTCACACCTCCCCCTCTCGCTCGCCGCCGACACTTGCGCTGCGACAACCCCGTGGGGCGCAGAAGGGCGCACTAACACCGCGCGCCGATGTTGGAGGCGCGCCTCCGACACGAACACGCTTTGCGTCGGCGGCTAGGCTGGGTCACTGCGCTGGCTGGCGATAGGGCGTCGGCGCGCGCACGAAACGCGAACTGAGCCACCATGCAGGAAGGGGAGGGAGGAGGCGCCCGCGAACATGCAGCACACAGAACTGATCCACCACCGTGCCCTGAGGCACGAATTAGATTGTCTTCCGGTAGAGGCTGCAAAGAGGTAGGCGTGCTGGTGGCCTTGCCTCTGCCGGCGCGCCAGTGGCACGTAGCCCTTAATTCATTAAACAATGAAGCCGACAGAGGCCGCCGCGGCCAATCCCGGCCACAGGCAGCCGGTCAGGCAGGCCGCAGGCGGCCGCCAGCCAAGTCCAACCAGCCGCAGAGAAGCGGGGATGACGGAAGGAGGGAGGGAAAAGACCACCAGGCCGCCTATGCTACCCCCGCCGCTGGTCGGTCACCCATTCGCAATCGAGCGGTCGCCCGTAAGGGGCTATGTGGCACTTGCTGACCCCCCTTCTCGTTGCCGAGCGCGGGGGGGGACGGTGGCGCGCCGTCCCATCGCCCGCCGCCGCGCACCGCGGGCCTCGGCGGATTTCAAAGACCCAGCAAGGCAAATCACGCGCGACTCTGGAAAATTCTCCGGGGTAAAAATGCATCAGATCCGGAAGCGTTGTTGAACGTGTCCGATCTACTTTTTGAAAAATACCAGAATCGTTTTTGAAAAATTCCGGGATCGAGAATTCCGGAATCCATTTTGAAAAATTTCGGTTTTCAGAATGATTCAGATGTCCTGCGCGGCGGGCGCATTCCACCCCTCAAAACTGTTTCTTTTTGAAAATTTCTGGGCTCCGTTTTGAAAATTTCCGGAACCGCTTGCGCACAAAAAAAAGCAGCGTTTTCTGACACATTCTACAATCCAGAAATAATGTCCGGGCGTCCGACGGGCGCGGCCGGCTGATTCACGCGCAGCGCCGCGCGCGATTGGGCGCAGCGCGCGCCGCGCGTTGCGCCCGCGAACAGCACTCGAAGGGGCCACCTCGAAAACAGCGCCACGGCAGCTGCGACTCCCGGACTCCCAAAGAGCAACACAGCATGCAGCTTGGAATCTTCGAGGGCGCTCCGATGCGCGAATAATGCACCGCGAACATCACGCAAACAATCTGCGCGACGGAATGCGCTCGACCATTCGTCGCTGGAGCCAACGCGGGAGAACAGGAAAACCTGAAAATCTGGAAAACTATCCAAATCAATACTTCATGCTGCTCTGATCCTCCTCCTCCTCCCCATCAGCATCATCATCATCATCATCATCATCATCATCATCATCATCATCATCATCACCATCATCACCACCACCACCACCACCACCATCATCATCATCATCACCACCACCACCACCATCATCATCATCACCACCACCACCACAACCACCATCATCATCATCAACACCACCACCATCATCATCATCATCATCATCATCACCACCACCATCATCATCATCATCATCATCAGCAGCAGCATCATCATCATCATCGTCATCGTCATCGCCATCGTCATCGTCATCGTCATCGCAATCATCATCATCATCATCATCATCATCGTCATCATCATCATCATCATCATCATCATCATCATCATCATCGTCATCATCATCAGCATCATCATCAGCAGCATCATCATTATCATCATCAGCATCGTCATCACCATCATCATCAGCAGCAGCCTCAGCATCATCATCATCGTCATCATCATCAGCAGCAGCATCATCATAATAGCAGCATCATCATCAGCATCATCATCAGCATCAGCATCAGCATCAGCGTCAACATCATCATCAGCATCATCATCCTCATCATCAGCATCATCATCATCGTCATCATCATCAGCATCATCATCAGCAGCAGCATCATGATCAGCATCATCCTTCATCATCATCATCAGCAGCAGCAGCATCAGCATCAGCATCATCATCACCATAACCATCATTTGTATCACCATCATCATCATCATCATCATCATCATCACCATCATCATCATCATCATCATCATCATCATCATCATCATCATCATCATCATCATCATCATCATCATCATCATCATCATCATCATCATCATCATCATCATCATCATCATCATCATCATCATCATCATCATCATCATCATCATCATCATCATCATCATCATCATCATCATCTCATCATCATCATCATCATCATCATCATCATCATCATCATCTCATCATCATCATCATCATCATCATCATCATCATCATCATCATCATCATCATCATC